AAGGGGGGCTTTGGGAGTGGATGAAGTGTTGGTCTGGGTAGGGAAGTGGACTTTGAAGGAGACAGGACTGACAGGAATGCATCGCACCTGGCACCCACCATTCCCGATCAACGCACTCTGGACCCCAACCGAATAACATCTGCAATCAGGAGGGCGAGGTGTACTGCAAGACGGTGGCGGCGGTGAACGACCTGGAGACGCAGTTTGCCGCGCTGTGGACGCAGTGCCAGCGGTGCCAGGGGTCGCTGCACCAGGATGTTCTCTGCCGCTCCCGCGACTGCCCCATCTTCTACCGCCGCATGAAGGTGCAGAAGGAGGTAGGGGAGGCCGCGGCCTCCCTGGCCAGGTTTGACGAGTGGTGACGCCGACCAAAGGGTGGGAGAAAAGGATGCTGGACGCTCTCGGCAGAGCCTCGACAGAGCATGCCGCAGCCCTGCTGCCCACTCGCAACACGTCACTGCTGTATGACTCCAGCTTGTCTGGCTGGGGCTTTGCACGATTCTGTGGGGCTATATAATCCAAACAACAAGGTGAATCCAGCAAAGGCTTTCCTCTTGCCCAGAGATGGGTAGACATTGATCATCCGAAATCGTCAGGCAAAGGGCTCTGGCATTGGGCATCCTCACTCGCACAAGATCAGGCGGGGTTCAAGGGGTCGTCTCTGTGAAGCGGCAAGAGGGATAGCCGTAATGGCATTCGAATGGAGAGGAGTATTCAATATAGACTGGGAGGGCGTTGAAGTGAAAGTTGATACCTGGTGCTATTTCGGCAAAACCTGTTCCCAAGGTAGCCATACTTCCAACCCGGATGTGCTTCCGGAGGATGCTCCGCGCGCCATGACTCACCTGCACGTAAGGCGATCTAGTGTCGCAAACTCGCGACGTGTCTTCCTCGGAATTTTGGACACGGCCTTCTAGATCCCAGGAACCCGTTTAAATGTATAAGAATAGTTGCACCGGAACTTCGAGATCAAGGCCACTGCCCGGCGGCATTGTTTGAGCAGGACGCCGGGTGCCCCCGCGGCACAACACTCGACCTCGATCCCCGCATCTGGGAAGGAAATGAGACGGCACGTCCCCCTTACCCGTCGTATCGTGGCTGTTCTGGCCGGTTACTCCGGAACTGGAGTGCACAGCGCCACACCCGCATGGGCCTTGGCCTTCAGCACCAGCGGCCCGACCCGGGATGCCGGCACCTCGGGCCGTCTCTTCAACAAGATCCTGGTGGCCAACCGAGGGGAGATTGCCGTGCGCGTCATGAGGACAGCCAAGAAGCTGGGTAAGACAGTGTTCACATTCTGAGCCCTCGGCTGCCTGGAAATGTCTGCCTTCATAGTCAGCAAGGCATCCCTGGTCTCTTGCTTCTGCGCACCTGACAATCCCAGTGATCACGAGTGCTCACCTCTCCTGCCCCCTGCTGGCCCCCAATCACCAGGCATTCCCACTGTGGCGGTGTTCAGCGACGCAGATGCGTCGGCGGTGCACACCAGATTCGCCGACGAGGCCATCAACATCGGCCCAGCCCCCTCCACTCAGAGCTACCTGGACATGCACAAGATCCTGGCTGCCATGAAGGCAACGGGTGCCGACGCGGTTCACCCCGGCTACGGCTTCCTGTCTGAGAACGCTGCGTTTGCGCAGGCGGTGGAGGACTCGGGGGCGGCCTTCGTGGGGCCACCCCACCACGCCGTGCACGCTATGGGCGACAAGGTTGGTTGGGATGGTCGGGCATGTTGCTGCGGGGCAAATGGGGTTTGGAAGTTGTTGAGAATGTCGACCTGCATGCCCAGTACCTAGCCTCCCAGCCTCTCAGTCACCACGGGCTATTAAGCACGCAGTAATCAGTGAACCCCACCGCATGGATCGGCCGTTCAGCCAGTGCAACCTTTAATCACCCATCCCCTCACACCACCTACCATTCATGCCCAGGTGGAAAGCAAGCGCTTTGCGCACGCTGCGGGCGTGAACACCATTCCCGGCTGGGCCGGGGTGGTGGAAAGCGCGGAGCACGCCATTGAGCTGGCCAAGGACATCGGGTACCCGGTCATGATCAAGGCGTCCGCGGGCGGCGGAGGCAAGGGCATGCGCATCGCCTGGGACGAAAAGGGGCTGGCGGAGGGCTTTGAGCTCGCGTCTCAGGAGGCCGCCTCCTCCTTTGGCGACTCCCGCATGCTCATCGAGAAGTTCATCGAGGAGCCGCGGCACATTGAGATCCAGGTGGGGGGATGTGGAGAGAGGGGCTGATGGGTGTGGGGTGCCAATATAGTGCGTGAGGCTGGGTGGGTTGAATGAGGGGAACATGCCTGGGGGCGGGGAAGGGGAAGGGGTGATGAGGTGAGGAAAGGACAACCAGAGCATGTCAGACCCGGTACAGGGATGGCGCCACGATATATCATAGTATACCTCAGGGGCACTGGATGCACCTGCGCTGGGTCTGTGTTGTAGATAAAGCTGCATGGCAGAGAGTACCTCCCAGACCAGACGCCTGCATGCCTCTGTCCACTCACCCTCACCTTGTCCCTCTTTCTTCCACCGCAACCAGGTCATGGGCGACAAGCACGGGAACGTGGTGTTCTTCCCCGAGCGCGAGTGCTCCATCCAGCGCCGCAACCAGAAGGTGATCGAGGAGGCGCCCAGCCCCTTTGTTCCCCCCGAGCTCCGTGAAGCCATGGGGAAGCAGGCGGTTGCGCTGTGCCACGCCGTCGGCTACCACTCGGCCGGCACCTGCGAGTTCCTGGTCGACAAGCACCGCAACTTCTACTTCCTGGGTGGGTGAATGGGGGATGGGATGCTATGATGGCATCATCTTACAGATGTCTGTGCGGGCAATGTCGCGCCATTGCTCCAACTTAGTCACCAGCCTTATTCAGGTTAGTTGGTTCCCCACCCTAAGTACTCCACACCCCGCGCTTTCCTAGAGATGAACACGCGATTGCAGGTGGAGCACCCGGTGACGGAGGCCATCACGCGGCAGGACCTGGTGGAGCTCATGCTGCGTGTGGCAGCTGGCCAGAAGCTGAACGTCAGCCAGGAGGAGGCCAACTGCGTGCACGGCTGGGCCATGGAGTCGCGAGTGTATGCTGAGGACCCTGCCAGGGGTGAGGTTGTCTGGAGAGGAGTGAAGGGCTTGGGGAGCCTGGTGCCTTGGGATGCCAGGCGTCACATCATGAAGTTTGCGGCCAACCAGCTCAGTCAGGCGTGCATTGGTACCTCCAGTCCCATTCCACCCTTTATGAGGTTTCACCCTGTCTCAACAACAGACACCCTGACCAAGACCCGTGCCCATTTCCCCCCTCGTCCTTCCTTTCTCAACAGGCTTCCTGCCCTCGACGGGACGCCTGATGCGCTACGCACCCCCCCGCGGGGAAGGTGTTCGTGTGGATACGGGGGTGCAGGAAGGGTCGGAGATCAGCATGTACTACGACCCCATGATCTGCAAGCTCATAACCCACGGTGCTGACCGCCCCCAGGCCCTGCAGCGCATGCGCCAGTGCGACGGGGGGCTTTGTTGGTGGGGGGTGGGGTTGGAAACGAGGGTTTGGTCTAGTTTGGGGGGGGGGGGAGGGGACCTGTTGCGTTTCCACTACATACAGACGCCCAGCACTTGGGTGCACTTGGTTCCTGAGTTGTACACGTTGATATTCAAGACGCAGCAGTCCATTGCAATCGCAAGATTCCCCATTTTTCAGTTACCCTGGCCGGTCCTCGACGAGCTCGGCCTCCTTTGGCCGCAGTTCACACCGGGTGCAAGGCCACAAAGCCTCGCTGCCTGACGGTGGCATGGTCTCATCCACAACCCATCCTCTCCAACAGCTCCCTGCCCGGCCACAACCTGCAGGATGCATCCACCCCGCAGGGCCCTGGACTCGTACGTGGTTCGTGGCGTGCAGCACAACATCCCGCTCCTTCGATCGGTCCTGGACCGCCCCGACTTCGTCGCCGGCACCTTCTCCACCGCATTCCTCGCCCAGCACTATCCCAGCCCCGCCGACTCAGCACCTGCGGTGCTGCCCCTGACCCGGGCGCAGGAGCAGGAGCTGCTGGCGCTGGCGGCCGTGTTGCACGTTCTGCGCTCCACTGCGCGCGCCGGGCGAGGGGACGGTCTGTCGGTGAGTCTATTGTCTTTGGGCGTTTCCTTCCTTAGGGCCAAGGAAAGTGCTTGCCGGGCTCAGGAGTCCAATGTATCTGCAGGCCACGATCCTCGCGCCACAGCAAGCAGCTCTCACAAGTACAGCCGCCCCCTTTCTCAATTGCTTTGGTGACTACACAAAACCCTTGACTTGCAATCCTCTTGCCCCCCATCAACCCCAAATTCATCCGACCGCACCCTGCCAATGCACCAGGAGCCCGTGGACCTGGTGCTGACGATGGGCGAGGAGCAGTTCCCAGCCAGGCTGCGGCCTTCCCCGGCCGGCCTGGTGCCGTCATCTTCTGCCGCCGCCGCCGCCCCCAGCTTCCAGGTGGAGCTGGCGGAGCGCGTGCTGCAGGTGACCCCGGAGGCGGGCCCCAGCGAGCTGGCGGGCGTGCTGGCGCGCGCCAGCATCGATGGCGTGCAGATCGCGGCGCAGGTGCTGGAGCTGGGCGCACGCGACGTGGCGCTGCAGGTGGCGGGCGCGCAGCGGCGCGTGCGCGTGGCGACGCCCGCGGCCGCTGCGCTGGCGCGGCTCATGCCGGAGCCAGTGCGCGAGGACTTTTCTCGCGCGGTGCGTTCGCCCATGCCCGGTACGCTGGTCTCGCTGGCGGTGGCGGTGGGCGACGCGGTGCGTCCCGGCGACGACGTGGCGGTGGTGGAGGCCATGAAGATGCGCAACGTTCTACGCGCCGAGGTGGAGGGCGTGGTGGCGGCCGTGGAGGCCGCGCCGGGGGATACCGTGGCCGCCGACCAGGTCCTCCTCCGGTTCGACTGAGAGTGTTTTCTTTTTGGGGGGGAAATGTTCCCTGTTGATGGGCTGGCAGATGTAATCAGGCATCATCTTCCTACCTCCAGAAAGTCCTTGCAGGCGCGTGCTGTGGTGCCTGTTGCCATGCGAATTGTGTGAAGAGTGAATGGATCCTGGGGGGGAGTGCACGTGGTTCAGCAGCGCAGCAGACGAGCAGGCAAAAGTGCCCCACTTTGAAATGCAGACCAAAAATACCCACCACCCCCGCCGAGCTCGGGAGGATCCGGATCCAGCATTACTCATTTAGAGCACCTCCAGATAGGCCCACCCGATTTCAGCATGGGTGGGAAGGACAGCGTGGAAGTCACGGTCAAGGTCGCTTTCGGACATGCCGTCCGGGAGGGGGCCACGGTGCAGAGCGCGAAAGTCAGCCTTGCCTCCGATGGCAGCGACTCCGTGCACGATCTCAAGTCCAAGACCGCTGCTGCGCTGGGGGGCAGCGTGACCGCGGAGGATCTGCTGCTCTCCTTCGGGCCCAACGAGCGTAAGCTGGGCAGGCAGTACGTCGGGGACCCCACCGTGGACGAGAAGGCCCTGCTCCTCAGCGCCTACACCATCCTCGCCTGGCTACAGCGGTTCCCGCACTGGTACCTCACCGCACGGCTCTTGCCACCCCCGCCCCCACCCCCAGGTAGGGGAGTTGTGGGACGCAGGGCCAGTCAGATAGAGGATCCGGTGCCACCCCTGCTCGTGCCAATGCACCTCCTCCACGCCACACCAACCCTCGATGTGGTACAGGTGTGGCCATCCAGAAGGCAGCTGCGACGGCGGAGCAGAAAGATCCCGACGCCGCTGTGGCCGATGCTCGGGCCAAAGGGGACATCCCAAAGATCAGCGACCTGCCGCTGCCCTGGGGTCCCAAGCCCTTTGTCCCCCCCCCTGCTGCAGAGCTCATTGCTGCAGGTTACCTCCCTCCCCGGTACCCAGAGTCCAGTTCCCCGCTTGTCGATTGCTGAGTTGCAACAGTTGTCGTGGAACCTTGCATCACATTCATTCTGTATGGGTAATGGGCCATTGGTGATAGGTATGAGCCAATGCAGTAAGGTATGTCAGCCGCGAGACGAGGGTTGGCAGGCGCCCGCTGGCGTTTAAGGGTTGCTAAGGGATGAGGTGCAGAGCCTGGTGTGCCAGGTCGCCCAAAATCAAGCTTCGTCAGGCCTCCACTCCGGGACAGCTCTTGGGCAGGGTCCCATCCTGCAGGAAGCCTTGCGTCAGCTGCCGCGCCCGCTTGGTCAGCGGCATGACATGCAGCCCCCCCACGCCAGGAAGGTCGAGCGTCTGTGGATGGTGTGGAGGGATGAGGAGGGGTCGGCTGTCTGCCTGTGGTGTGGCAAGGAAACCCTCCTCCCCAGGTCCCGTCCAGCCTGCCGAGCCTCACCCGCCGAATGAGGTCGGCGTTCCATGCTCTGACTCCCTCCGCATCCTGACTGGCCGGGAAGTCAGCCAGGAGCTGTGCGGCCTCCTCATCCCCCGCCCCTGCCCCGATGAGGAACAGCCAGAACTCCAGGTTGGATCGGGAAGTGATCAGAGGGACTCCCAGCACAATCTGGGTGAACGGGCAGGGTTGAAAATGGAGGAGATCCAGGGGAAAGCAGGGCTGGACAATAAGCATGGGACTTGTGAAGAACATGCCAAGGCGCCCAAGACAAGATGGTCTGGCAACGGCCCGCGGTGTCAAAGGCCGGCCGCCTGCGGTACGTTCAAATCTGCCCGCCGCAGGCAAGGTTTCGACCCTCCAGACCCATTCACAAAATCCCAGTACCAAAGCTCATCACCCCACCCGAGCTCGGTGCGTGAGGCCATTCTCCGCCGCTCTTTCCATCCACTCCCGGCTCCGCCGCCAGAGCAGCGGGGGCTGGGTCAGCACGGTGCTTGCCCCCGCCTCCACCTTGGCGGCCAGGCGGCGCAGCGTCTCGGACCCAGGGTTGGCCACCGCCCAGAGACGGGTGTCGGCGGGCAGCTCGCCTCTGGACCGGGCTGTGCCCGCATCTCTCAACATGCTCAGGCTGTTGCCAAGAAAGTGCGGCACGATCGGCAGGGTCCGCACGGGGTGGCCGCCTGAGAGGAGGAGCAGGGCCTGCGCTGGGGGGTGGCCCTCGCTGCCGGCGACAGCTGCCGCCATGCGCCGCCGTAGGTCCTCCCGGCTGCGCAGCTGAGCTGCCACGCTGCGAACCGTGATGCACCCGGGCGGCTGCTGCGGCGTGAGGCCGGCCGGTGCACGACAAGTTGCTGGCGGGGCTGTGGTGGGGGACTGGGCGACATGACCGCCCGGCAGCCGCAAGGCCTGCGCTGCCAGCTGGCGCAGCGTTGTCGCGGGGGGGAGGTCGGGCACCACCCCCGCGCCAAACGCGCCGCTGCGCCAGAGCTCCTCGTCGCTGCCTGCTTCGCGCCCTACCTTCCTCTCCAGCGTCAGCAGCAGGGGTCTGGGCAAGGGGACCGCGTTCCCATCCTGAGGTAATGATGTGCTGGCCAGTCGACGAATGAACCTCGCACTCCGCGTATAGAGACGGGGCCCCACCCGGGAGGCATGCATGCGAGAAAGGGAGTAAGGGGTTGGGGACCTGTGACGGGAGGTCACACCGCGCCAATTCATGACTTCATAGGAAGAGGAGTGGGAAAGTCATCTCGCTTCCTTCGACAACCCTTGAGTGCCCTCTAATTCTCCTCCCTCATCCAACATGCTGACCGAACTAGGCCATACAGGGAATGCCGGTGCGCTCATGACGGGAGCGCGCGCGGACTCAAACAGCTGTCTAGATCTCCTCTTAGCATGAGCGTGTGCCACTCCTGCCGCGGAGGGGCATAACAGCTACAGAACCGAAAATCTCAGCTGTATTTCAGTGAAAAAGCGTCGAGCTGTGGCCCGAGCGAGGCTCGGCCGGCATGCTGGGCACCCTCCTGCACGAGCACCTCCAGGATAACGACTCGAAGAGCAGGAGCAGCCCGTCTGCACTCATGCTGCCTCGCACCCTCACAAGGTCACAAATTCTGTACTGAATCTTCCTCTGGCGTGATACAGGCCTGGCTGCGATGCGGGCCTCGCTGCCCCGCCTGCCCCTGTTCCGCTTTGGCGCAAGCCAGACGCAGGGGCAGGAGGGTGGCTTTGGCTCTTCCGATCACCTCGACGTCCACCGGGACGTTGTGCTCCGCCTGGAGTGCATGACCTCCAACGAAGTAATGTGGCAGGTCGTGATCAACATGACCTTCTCCGTAATAATCCTGTGGAGCGCCATCGGGCTGGTCATTGTGCAGTTCAAAGGGGTGAGTGGCTCTTGGGCAAGGTGGCTTTCTGAGACGCTCACAGCAGCTCAGCGTCCCAGCGCATGGCTCAGTGCCTGTACTGTGGCGCAGGGTGTTGCCTCTTATGCTGCGGATCTCCCTCAATGCCTGCCTAAAATCACTACCCTTCAAATGGAATCAGCACCAGCGACCAGGCAACACACTCTTCCATTGCTGGCCCCCAACTCCCCTGCACAGGTCGACGCCTTGAGCGGCTGGAACCACAAGCACTACTTCATTTCCACTGTCACCATCGGTGCGCTTTTCCTGGTCGCCCTTGCCACGATGGGCATCATCTACCTGCGCCGCCTGTGGCATGCTCGGCAGGCGGGCCAGGCGTGGTCGCCCCGCAGGAAGCGGCTCGCCACCACAGCGCTCACGCTCATCCTATTAGAGGTGTGTGTTTTGTGCTGGGATTCTGGGCATGGAAATTCTTCGTGCTGCGTCTGGCTTTGCACCAGGTGGCGTTGGGTTGCACCAGATTGCTGTGGATCCAATCCATCCAGCCACGACTGGCACCGGTCATCTCCCCTCAACCCCCTTTTCCCTTTCCTTTACCACACACCCTTAGTTCGTCAACCTGTCGCTGTGGGTGGGGAGTTCTGCATACCAGGCGGCCAGCGTGTGCAACTGGCTGGCGGTCTGCTCCAACGTCATTGGGTACCTGCAGTGGACGATCCTCAACTGCATCCTCCTGGTCATCATCTGCAGCGCCCACGACATGTGCATGTACCGAAACCCCAGGGTCAAAGGCTACGTGCCCACACCTGCGGTGCTCGTCATGGACGTTGGATGGTGCGGGGCCTTAGTGTGGTGTGTGGGCCTGAACCCAACGGCATGCGGTGTGCATCGGACCTGCTCTCCAAGCAACAGCGCATTTCAGTCAAACCTGGCCCACCTTTGCCACACTTTCGCGCAGCGAGCCCTCTGATCTGCCCTCCTCTCCCCCCCACCCACCCACCCCACACTCCCCACACTCCCCACACCCCATCCTACCACAGGTCGGTGCACTTCCCCAAGCTGATTCTCTGGTGCCTGAATCAGGCAGTCATGTCCGTCACCTTTGGCCTGCTGCTGCATCGCATCATTGCATACAAGCACAACCGCGCGGCACTCTGCAACTTCCAGGATGGGAGCTGCCATCTGAGCAGGGCCGGGATGGTGACCTTTGCCATCACGGTGTGTGTCTTATGGTGGGGATGGTTGCTGATTATTTCTACGGGGAGGGGGAGGGTGTGATGGGTTGGCGCATGGAGGGACAGGGTGGGGATGGGCAATGGCAGATGCCTCATTGGGTCGGGCTCAGAGGGTGAGTCAGGTCCAGGGGAGTATGGTCACTGTCTTCCCTCCTGCGTGGGGTCGGGGTGTGACGTTGAGGGGTGACAAGGTGACGTGCTGCTAGTGGGAGGGAGTCAGGCCATGGCCCCTCGGCCATCCCACACCCACCCACTCACACCCAGCCTGGTCTACAGAAGCCCGTCGTCTTTCTCAACTTTGTGTACGCCCTCCACCTGTACCCGCCACAGGTGTCCTTCATCATCGTGTACCTCATCATATACCTGGTGAGCCTGTGGCGTACCAGCAAGGACCTCAGCACCCGGGCTTACTCAGAGATGCGCATCGCACGCACGCTGTGGTATCTTCAGGCGAGCGGCTGGGCCTTTGGGGGAGGAGAGGTCAAGGCTGCGCTGCCCTTTCTGGGATCCTGACCGTCGACCTGGTCATGCTCCGAGCATGGCCATCCCACCCTTTGCTGTAGCTCTCCTCCCTCACCACCCCACCCACGCCCCACACATGCACACATGCAGTCGAGATACACCATCATGATCTTCTTCACCCTGGCAGTCACCCTCTTTGTGCTCATGATCCCAAAGCTGGGATCCTGCTGGAACTACATCCTGATCTGGTGGGTCGGCTGGGGGTTGCGAGGTGGAGGCGCCGTGACGTGCCAAATCCCCGTCAGCCCTGCCCGCGGGCTGTGCCAAGGGCACAAGAGGCTGCGGGCTCCCACCTGCCGTGCATCTCTGGTACCACCTCCCCTTGACAACCCACCCTCTGCGCCACACACCGCACTGCCTCAGGCTGGGGGCTGTGCCCATGCACGCCTCGCTGACGCAGACCGCCGTGGGCATCGGCTTCGCCTTCCTGCCAGAGAACGCCAAGCGCGAAGGCCACATTCCCCAGATCTGGCTCCAGGAGTTTGCCTGGAGCGAGGAGACGAAGCCGGCGTGCCTGGCCAGGCGGGACGCCCACATGCGCGACCATGCCGACCTGGGCAAGCAGCCCATGTTCTGCATGGAGACCTGCCTCAAGCTGCTGTACTGGTCAAACCTGATCTACGACCTGGAGTCGGTGGGTCATCCTTTGGGGGGGGCCCTGCATTGCACGAGGACAGGGGTGTGCTGATCCCAGACAGTGTGATCTGGAAAAGCATGGTACGGGAGGTCGCTCAGACTGTGTGTTGGGCGGTATGGCTTGCCAAGCAATAGAGGTTTGGACTCAGGATGGGAGGTCACACTGCGCTACGTGCATGAAGCTGCGCTCCTTCCCAGCCGTGCTTCACTGGGGGTCGGGACAGTGCCAACCATTCTTTCTACCAATCCCTCTTTTCCGCCTCCTGCTCTAGGTGGTGGGCGGGCTGGCGACCCTGGAGACAGCCACGTCCCTCTACTCCCAGCACTCGCACGAGCTGCTCTGGGACCTGGAGACAGACACCAAGGCGGTGGTTGCCTGGGGCACATCGCATGTTGTTGTCGCCTTTGCTGGCACCTCCAGCATGGCCAATGTGCTGACAAACCTCAAGGTGAAAGCTGGGAGGCGGCGTGGTATGTGCCAGTGGGGAGGAGGAGCCGTTTTGGGGGGTAAGATACACATGTCTCTCTGCAGTCTTGAGAAGCAGCCATCAGGAACCCAAAATCTGCCAGTATGGATACCACCGCAGTTGGCCACCACGCTGCATCCTCCAAAGAGAAAGAAGGAAGGAACTCGATTTGGTGGATACATGAGGGTACACCAGGGTGAGTTGCAAAGCAAAGAGAAGACGGATACAATACAATCTTACTTTGAATAAGAGACCTCTCAGCCTCTCCTTCCTCTCTGGGAGGCAGCACCCACATCATCGCGTGCCTCATGAATGGCCCACCATTCACGACCCAAACCCATATCACCCGACACCAGGCTTCTACCTGGCGTACACCAAGAACGACTACAACCTGAAACTCATGACAAAGCTCCTGGACATCAAGGCCAGCTCGTCCAACCCTGATACCCTGACCTTTCTGTTCACCGGTGAGGATGAACTCATGTGGAGAAATTGGGGGCCCCCCCCATATCAAGCAGTAAGCAAGCGGATAGAGGAGGGTGCACCTGTCTGTCTGTATGACTGCACGGATCCACCCTCCTTCCAATATCCCACAGGCCACTCCCTGGGCGGGGCCCTAGCCACCCTGGCGGCACACGAGTTTGTGCAGCGCAGTCCCAAGAACCCTCTCATCACGTACACGGTGTGAGGGATTGGTGGCTTCATGGGTGGGGAGAGGTGCAGGGGCTGGAAACGTCACCGGACTGCTGTCTGTGCTGACCTATGTCTGTACTGTGGACCGTTCTTCCTCCTGCCTGCTACCCCAAAGACTGGTGTTTGTTGATTACACTTTGCGCCATAGATGCAAGGCAGGCGCCATCCCTACTCACCAGGAGCACATCCCCTCCGTTCCTGTATGAGCCATCCTTTCTTCCACCATGCAGTATGGAGCCCCAAGGGTCGGCACCCGGAGCTGGGCCAACGAGTACAATACCCTCATCAGGGACCACTTTGCCATCATCTGCGACCAGGTGGGATCGCTGGAGCGAGGGTTTCCCTTTGTGTGTGTAGGGCGGGCTGAAGGAATGGGTTCATGCATTTGGTCGCTACCTCACCTGCTCGGCTACCCTGCCTCCAGAAGCGCACTGCAGCCCCTCCCACAGGCCCCAGTGTGTCCAACACCAAGCCATTCTCCCTTTCTATCTTAGGACCCTGTGCCCCGCGTGCCCAAGGGCTTCAGCTACAAGCGCGTGGGGGAGCGGGTGGTCTGCGACCTGCGTGGCAACCTGATGATCCGGCCCTCGCCCCTGGAGAGCTCCATGTGGAACTACAAGGGTGCGGTAGAGGGAGGGGAATGGCACTGGGGAGGGGGCGTGCCTGCCAGTGCCTGGGCCCTTGGACGCCTCGGAGCCGCACCGCCCGTGGTGCTGCTCTGGCCCACTGAACCCCCCTCACCTCCACGACCTCCACGCCCTGCCTTCCCCAGGTGGCTACATCGTGGACCACCTGCTGACGCAGCACCGCCTGGCATTCGCCAGCATCATCAAGGCGCAGTTTGGGCATGCGGCGCTGAAGGGCGGGATGCAGGGCGTGGAGGCCCTCGCCAAGACCCTGGACCTGGACGCGGTCCTGCTGGCCAAGAACTGCGACCTGGAGAGCCTGCGGGATCCGGGGTCAAAGCCTGTTCCCCTGGAGGTGGCCGCACGCATGGCCCAGGTGACGGCGGGAGGGGCCCCTAGAGGTGGGACGCGGGTGCGCCATTCCCCACGCAGCACAGCGTGCACCAGGTTACCGACTGCCAAAGGCCGTGCCCCGCTCAAGTAATGACTGGTGCTGGTTGCCACCAAGTTTCAGAGCTGGCGCAGCCCCCACCTGCCCCTTGAATCAACCAGCTATTCATCCACATGCTCCTCAACCCCACCCCCTTCCCAACATCCTTCTCACCCACAGCCGCCGCTGTACAACACCCTCCTTGGCTGCATAATGTGCTCGGCCACAGCAGGCCAGGCCGCCGCGGAGGGCGAGGAGGTCGTCGCTGTGAAAGCCGGCCCGCTGCTCCCGCTCGCGAATGAGGCGGGCACGGCCGTGGTCCTGCCGGGCACCACGGGATTGGTCGTTCCCGTGGGCAGCCTGGACTTGGCAACAGAGGGTGAGGCGCTTGAGGCGTCACCCCATGCTGCAAGGAACGAAACGCTCGGGGGCCCGATTCCCACATCCGCACCCGGGCGGCAGGAGGGCGTACACGGCGTGACATGCAAGGCAGGCCAAACGTGAAGCCTCATGACGAATCGTGCAGGGACTAAGTGCCCGACGACCAGCCCCTCTGCCCACGCAAGCTTCGGCAGGCTGCTGGTGTCTCAGCCCGCGACCATGTTGACATCAACCATAACACGTGCCCGCTGTATCTCCCCCTGTACTTGCTTGCACCCCCCTTCAGCCTTGGGAATGATCGCTCCGGTGGTTCCACCACTCCCATGCTCCTGATCATTCTCGCTGGGGGCCAACCCCCCTCTCCTGTAGATGATTCTTTTTATGAGCGCTTGGTCAGAATCCTTGCAGCGATTCAGGGACGGCAGTTTGGATTGATCTGAGATTGCATAGGCAGCACTTGCGGGCAGTCTCGATCTGCAGTTTTCTTTGTGTAAGAGCATCGACGGGCCTGGGTGGTGCCCCACGCATGTCGTAGGCACCCCTGATGCCGGGCAGTGTCACTTGGGAAGATCGCTGCCTGCTGCTTGGGAGCTCATTCAGACCTAAGATTCCAATCTATGCAGTAAGCTGCCCTGGGAAGCACTCAACAAACGTCTGCAAGGCCGTGGAGTGGAGAAAGGTCGCTTGGAACAAGCATGGGTTGGTCAGATATGCACAGAACATCCAAGTCGATTGCCCTGGCTTACGTTCTTCGGGTGCTTGTTGTCTGAGTGCTCCTTCAGCTTTGCCTCAGTGGAGGTACAGATGAATGTGGACCGGCAGATGTTGCACTGCGAGGTGAGAGGGGTTGCGATGCTGTTCTGACCGTGACTCGGGGGCGCCCAGTATACCCACCCGCCCACCCCCGACATTGCTACGAGCGACCGCGCGTGCAACCTCGACTCACCACAATGTTGGACGCCGCAGAGTTGACCTTCAACTGGCTGACGCCGCCCTTCCTCTTCTTGTCCATTTCCTGCTTCTTGGCACGTGCCATGGCTGTCTTCTGAGCATTTCCGCCGCCCATTTTTGTTTGTGGCTCACGAGCTTTATGGTGTATGAGTAAATGTACCTGTTTATAAATTTGGATGTTGTCAGATTTGGAAGTGGAATAGTGTATGGGACTCCCCGAATTCTTGTGAAGGATTACAGTCTAGTGGGGCGCCAGCGCCGATGATGGAGCACAGCGGTTGGAAAGGACGTCGGAGACTTGTAACATGGGTCAGTCGAAAAGCATGGGCATGGGAGCCTGTGGGCATGCTGCCGCAGGGACGCAGCCTTGCATGGATCGCTACATCCCACTTACACGTCATGCTGGCCTTGCACGGTCGCGTGACGCTCCGCACTCCACCCCATGCCCCGTCGGGGTGGACCGGCCGATCTAGCTCGGCATGGGGTTTGGCCCAGCCATCGACCCCGCCCAGCAGGGGTCGGTGTGCCCACAGAACACGAGCAACGAGTGTCACAGCCACGGATGCGGCGTCCGAAACGAGCACTCCCCCTCCACTGCGTTATGGCGTGTCCCTGACGCAGGGTCCAAGGGAGGAAATGGAGGATGTGGCGCAAGTGATCCCCGACGCCTGCTGTGGATTCCTTGTGGCATGTGAGTCTGCCAGGGATAGATGAAGGATAAGTGCACCTGTGTGTAGCTTTGAAACTGCCTTGCCATGGTTGCCTCCATGCAAACCTGCGCCATGCACTTGGGAAGCGAAAGCTACCCGGTGTGACTGCTGGGGGCGCAAGGTAGATTCCTTGCACCCACTGCTGACCCCCTGTGCGGCAAATTCCCTTCACCAGCTGTATTTGACGGTCATGGCGGCCGACTGGCGGCCGACTACCTTGAGAAGAATCTCTACAATGTTTTCAACGACATCCTCAAGGAAGACACCATCAGCCTGACCTGCAGTGTCAAAGGTGTGAGGGTACAGATGATCGTCAGGGCATGAAATGTGCCCTCTGTGATCATGAGTGTACCCAGTAGGACTAGGCCGGTGGGCAGCAACTGCTTAATCTGGGCACCTTACCCCTCCCTCCCGACAGAGCGGGATTCGAGTGGGCTGTGCTGTCCCCTGGAGCTCACCCCCCTCCTCCGCAGCAGCTTCAAAAAGACAGACGAACAGCTTTTGCAGTACCTCCATGGTGACAGGCGGAGAATGCCTGGTGAATTGGGTTCCCTTTACTGTCAGAGGCGCCAGAAGGATCGCTGGGGGGGTTCGATGCCTCTCGCATCGCCTCTTTGAATCCGCCTGGCCTGCACATTCACACCCTACGGTCCTCTGGAAAGGGATCAGGACCTCAGAACAGATTCCCTCCTCTCCTCTTCAGACCTAGGGGACGAGGACGCACTGACCTGCGGCTGCACCGCCACCACAGTGCTGGTTCACCCCGACCGCCTCATCGTGGCGAACGTGGGCGACTCCCGCGCCGTGCTGAGTCGCGGAGGGGAGGCCCTGGTCCTCTCCACTGAGCACCGCATCCCCGAGGACGGCTCCGAGAACGAGGAGACCGCCCGGATACGAGCGGTAGGTGGGTGGGTGAAAGGGGGAGGAAGGGCGATTGATGCCATGTGCGGGGCGTCTGAGAGAGTCGAGGGAGGCGGCGGTGTGGTATGTTGCATGCCGGCGCTGTGCTTCACACAAGCCAGGCGACGGGTGGCCCTTCCCCAAACGTTTTTACACTCCCACGGGGCCAACTGCATCCCCCCCGCAGGCCGGGGGCTGGGTGGAAGATGAGCGTGTATGTGGCATGCTGGCCGTCACCCGCGCCTTCGGGGACCCGGAATTCAAGGGCGAGGGCCTGCAGAAGCTGCTGCGCCGCGGTGTGGAGGAGGGCTTCTGGACCCAGGAGGAAGCCGATCAGAGGTGTTGGGGGACTGGTGTCGGCAGGGTACCTGAAGCCAGGGTCCTGGCAGGCTGTGGGTTTTCATCATCATCAGTTCCCCACCGCCCGGGCATCCCCCTCCAGCCTGCACCTCGATGTCAGACCAGCTCCCCTCCCGTCCCACCCACACGACGAACCCCCACAGGCACTTCAGCGCAGACCCCGTGACGGCGCTGCCAGACGTGACGGCGCTGGTGCGCACTCCTGACGACGAATTCCTGGTGGTGGCCAGCGACGGGCTGTGGGATGTGCTGAGCAGCGCGGAGGTGCTCAAGGCAGCGCGGCAGGGCCTGCGGAAGGGCCTGTCCTTGCAGGTGCTGGTTGGGAGCGGGGGGGCGCGGCTCTAGTGTTACAAGGGGGGGCCGGGCGCAAGGGAGTGAGTGATGCCCTTGCATGATCAAGGGGCCACAAAGGAATATCAGTTGTTGATGAAATGGCTAGCGACGAGGGGTGCCACCACGAAGCAGAGCGCATGGGAGCCTGATGCCCCCGCACGCCCAAAAATTCACCCTGCAGGCAGTGGCCGACACGTTGGCGGACCGCGCGCTGCGCCGCCACACCTACGACAATGTGGCCGTGGTGGTGGTGGACATGGGCGGTGGGCGGCAGGGCTGGAAGCCGCAGGCCAAGGGCCTACTGCGCGGCCTGTTTTCCAGCAGCTGAGGCCTTTGATTGAAGCAATGGGGACAGAAAGGGGGGGGGGGCGGCGGGCGGGCAGAGCTCGCATCCGGACTGGGCATAGCTGCTTGCAGTGCTCGAGGGCTTGTGCTTGCTGAAGGCACCGCGTCGGCTGCTCTTTTGGAAGAAGACCAGGGCACAGAGGGACTGATTGGAGGGTCCCAAGGTGTGGGGTATCCAGCATGTGACGGGAGGAGGACCCCAGTATGCTCAGACGCGGCTCAAAAGGAGGTCGCATGACCGGCAGCATCCACGCCGCCCCAGGTCCCTCCGGATCACTGCGCGTGCCAGTGCTTGATGCCCTCGTAGGAGGACAGGACGATGGCGCAGGCAGGCGCAGCCTTGGCGGCGCGCGCGCTCCAGCCGCGGAACAGCCCTGCCGCGCCTTCCTCCCGCGCATGCTGACCAGCGTGCCCAGCAGGCGCCGGCGCGGCATGGGTGAGGCGGCCGAGTCGCCGCCCGGCCGCACCTCCACGCCCAGCTGCACGCGCGTCTTGACCACGTCCAGGGGCGTGGTAGCCGCCCCCGCCAGCGCCCCCGCCGCCGCCCCCGCGGCGACGTTGGCCCGGAACAGCGCGGCGCCGTCGTCCGGGCCGGCGCCGCCCACCGGCAGCAGCGCCGCGCGCGCCGGCTCCACCATGGCCCAGTAGAGCGCGGAGAAGGGCACGTCGCGCGCCAGCTGCGTGCCCACGCCGCGCCAGAGGCCCGCCGCGGCGGCCACGCGCGCGCGCGCCAGCGCTGCGCCGCGCGCCTCACCCGCGGGGCAGGCGCAGTCGGGGCAGGGCTGGGCGCGGACCACGGGCGCGGCGGCGCCGGCCTGCAGCCGCGTGCGCACGAGCTCGAAGGGCGCGGTGGCGAAGACGGCGGCGGTGCGCGACAGCGTGCCGGCGGCCAGCGGCGCCCAGGCCGCGCCGCCGGCGGCCGCCAGCAACGCGTCGTAGAGCGGGAGGTAGATGCCGACCATGGGCACCGACATGGCCAGCGAGGCGCGGGTGCCGCGCCAGAGGCTGGCGGGGCCCTCGCGCAGCGCTATGCGCCACAGCGCGTCCAGCGTGCCGGAGAAGAGGGGCGGGGCGGGGGGAGTGGGGGCGGCCGCGCGCGCGGGGGAGGCCAGGCACTCCGCGAAGGACCAGCGCCTGGATCAATAGAAAGGGTGGGGTGGGGGTGTTTTAGCACCTGTTGAGAGGGGAGAATGACCGACACCCGATTGCAGGGGTGCTGGAGGGAGCTTGTGGAGGGCGAAGGACACACACCAGCCCAGGAACTTGCGCATTACTCGAAGATCACGAACATCCACAGGGACAGACCACCCACAAAAACTACTCACTCTAGGAGGGCGGCATGGGTCGCCGCATAGTTGGGGGAGCTCTGCACCTGGATCCTCGTCTGCGTGGCGGGCGCGACAGGGAGTTCTGATCATTGAAGAGTGATTACCTTGCTATAAGATCACCACATGGCATCATGCGACACTCCACCCACCCACTCCCAGGCACCCCTCCCAAATCCACCCCTCCCCTCTCAACACACCTTCACCACGTCCAGGGGGTTCACCACCAGGGCGGAGACGATGGACGCGCCCGCTGCCGCAGCACTGCGATGCGCCAAGCTGATTTCATGGCGAGGAGGGGGGTCGAGGGGTGTGTGCTGGGCCGTGGGCCCCTCGCCCTTCATGGCCCCTCGGAACTCGTCTGGAAGCCGAGGCCAGGCGAGGTCGACCCTGCCGCTTCCACCCCGCTGGAGAGGGGCCCTCGAGCAAATCAATCGATGTCCTTGTCCAAGGAAATGAAATGGGAATTCTGCAGTATTCTTTGACTGCCAGGAAATTATGCCCCTGTCGTGGGTCCACTCATTCCCTCCCTGAGAATGAGTGACTCACCTCTGCGCGCTCGCTCCGAGGAGGACAGAAAACGGACTCCCGCCACGGCTGTGCAGGAGTCCACTGCTGTTGACCAAGTCAAATAATTCGCTGCGCATCCCTGCATCTGCATCTTCACGGGGCCCGCCTCCATCGGAATCGAAGCATTACAGGGTAGAGGGACGCCTCCAGCATGCCCTTCGACCTCATCGTGAGTTGTTGGAAGGCCTGGTCCCTGCCCAGTGGCTCAAGACCACCCCACCCACCCTTCACCCCCCACCACCCCGCAGACCGGGAAGTTTGTCCCGGAAAAGTCCAACATCTGGAGGGACTGCGTCGATGGCTACTATGACTGGGTGCAGGAGCACATCGAGGACGTGCGTGCTCGGGGGTAGGGTGTACATGGCGCCGCGGACGACCTGCGGAGCAGTGCCTGGACCGGTTGTCACACTCCGCTGTCACTGCCCTGCAGGGAGCACCTCTGAATGAGGCAGATCACTGCGGCGATCCCCCGCTCCTCCTGGCAGCCGGGAATGGTGCGCCAGGCGGGGAGAGATGCTGGGGAATTATTGCCGGAATGCTTGTGCCCGATAGTGTTCCACCTTCTCGATCCCCCCCCCTCGCGCCATCGCAGGCCACCTCGCGGTGTGCCAGCTGCTCCTAGAGGAGGGTGCGGATGTGGAGCAGCGGAATGTGGTGAGGAGTAGACTGCGGTTTGTTGTGGCATGTGGAGGAGGCTGCCCTACCTCAGGGTACAAGACAGCGTATGCTGAGGGTTTGGAGGAAAAGGCACGGAAGACCAATATCCAGTCCTGACCTGCCAGAATATGCTGTGATAGCACCTGCTGTCGCCCCTTCCATCCAATGCTTGGAGCCTCTGCACCATCCAGATGGGGGAGACGCCGCTGATCAGGGCGGCACACAATGGCCACCTGGCAACCGTGCAGTACCTGATCGACAAGGGAGCGGAAGTCAACTCCATCGACATGGTGAGGGACTGGTTTGCGTGCATTCCATTTCATGGATGAGTGTCCCACTCTGCGCGCTGCATCAGCTCAGAAACACCCCTTCTCATCAACCTCTGCCATCGCTCCTTGTTCCCCCCGGCAGGGCGACAACACCGCCCTGCACTGGGCCTCCATGCGCGGGCACGTGGAGATCGTCAAGTACCTGCTGGCGCAGGGCGCGGATCGCACGCTGCGCAACAAGCAGGAGAAGATCCCCATCGACCTCTGCCAGCCCTGCTGGTCCAACTCCTACCGCTTTGCCCGCCAGCTCTTGTCCGCGTACTGAGCTGGGCGGCTGATTGAGGGTCATGGTGCTTGTTGATAGGTGTTGGTTTGTAGCCCCCAGACAATTTAAGCCCAGGGATTGGCAGGGACCAGTTCGATGAGACTGTTCCAGCCTGTGTGCCTCACAACCGGGGAAAACAGTGGTGATGTCCTCCTGGCTTGAAGGGTGTGATGGACAGGCAATGGCACCGTGCAGGCAGGCACTCAGTGGGATCAGGCACTGAGACTGTGCACTGACTTCGTATTGGAAGGCCGGGCACCCTCGAAAGGCCAGGTTCCAGGACTGCGGGGCCGGTGGGGTCTAGCGGTGCAGCACGAGAGTGGCACAGCCTCCGCTCCCTCTTCAACGATGGGTGTGCATGCCAGGGCGCGAGGCGTGTGCACGGCCCTGCCCCCAGTCCTAACATCCCTCAGGCGGTGGCCGAGGCTTGCTGGGTCGCGGCTGCGCTGCCGCACCCCCCCGCGCCCGCCTCTTGGAAGGCGGCCGAGCTGGCGGCGCCCGAGGCGTAGGGCAGGAAGGCGGGCCGGCTCTTCAGGCCCAGCAGGTCGAACAGCTGCTCGTCCTCGCCCCGGTCGTTGTTGGGCGTGGTCAGCAGCTTGTCGCCGTCGAAGATGCTGTTGGCGCCGGCCAGGAAGCACAGCGCCTGGTGGGGTGGGGGGTGGGGGTGGGGGTCGTGTCTGCCATTGTTTAATGATGGGATGATGTCGTGACACTGGAGTGCAATCGAGGCGATGTGAGCCTTTTGGAGTTGCCGAGCAGGCAAGGCCACCGAGAATCAGCAATGATTCTCCCCCTTCGGGACGCCCCGCCCATCTCCACACCCATGTATCTACACACACCTCGTCCCCCCCCCTCCCCTTCTTCCCCAATCACACCTGGTCGGCAAAGGACAGCGTGAGGCGGCCTGCAGACAGCCGCACCACCGTGCGTGGCATGAGCACGCGGGCGGTGGCCACGCAGCGCACCATGTCCAGGCCGCTGGGCGGCGCATGCCCGGCAAAGGGCGTCCCCGCCACTGCCACCAGTGCGTTGATGGGCACCGACTCGGGGTGGGCGGGCAGGGTGGCCAGCTGGTGCAGCAGGCCCACGCGGTCGAGGTGTGCCTCGCCCAGCCCGATGATGCCGCCGGCGCAGACCGAGATGCCTGCCTGGCGCACCGTGTCGATGGTGTCCAGCCGATCCTGTGATGGGTAAGATTTTGGAAAGGTGAGAAGGGGGGGAAAGGTCTGAGATCTGGAATCACACGGAGCTGGGAAGACTCCCCCTATCACCCCAGCCCAAACAACGAACCCCCCTCCCCCCTCCCCGACAAAGCACCACCCTGTGGGCCCCCACCTGGTAGCTGCGGGAGGTGGTGACCTTGCCGTAGTACTCGCGCGAGGTGTCCAGGTTGTGGTTGTAGGCGGTGAGCCCCGCCTCGCGCAGCGCGGCCGCCTGGTCGGGGGTCAGCATGCCCAGCGTGGTGCACACCTCCATGCCCAGGCCGCGGATGCCACGCACCATCTCCAGAACACGCTGGAACTGGCGGGGGCCGACCTGGGAGGGGCCGCGCCAGGCCGCGCCCATGCAGAAGCGGGTGGAGCCGGCCTCCTTGGCGCGCACCGCGGCCTTTGGTGTTTTAGAGAGGAGGAGGTGGGGGAAGGGGAGTATGGGGGGAAGGCTGGCATCCCAATGAGAGGTTTTTGAGCCAGTGCAGAACTGTTCCAATACTGAAAAAGCAATCAGGTCCTCAAACACATCCACACACTCATTGCAACAACCCACCTCGTACACGGCGTCCAGGTCCATCAGCTTCTCGGCCTTAGTCCCGGTCTCCTTGCTCCACGAGCTGGACTGGCTGCAGTAGTTGCAGGTCTCGGGGCAGCCCCCCGTCTTGATGGATAGCAGTGTGCAGCGCTGGACCATGGCGGGGTCGTTGTTGGCACGGTGCACCACCGCGGCGGTGTGCACCAGGTCCAGCAGGGGGGTGTTGTACACCTCCCCGACCTCCTCACGGCTGCGGAGGGTGGGAGAGCAACGAGGGGGCTGGAGCTCAGGGGAATGGGGAATACCTCCTGCCGTGATGTGTCAGGCCCAAGGCAGCCTCGGGCCCAGCGGCGGCAGCAAGCAAGCCAATGCGGCCAGGTGAGTGTGGTGTTGGCACCCACCGTCCCCCCCTGTACCTCCAGTCTGTGCGCACGACGCCCAGGCGCGACCGCCAGTCCGGCAAGGCGGATGGTCCCGATTCGGGCTGAGGGGCGGGCTCAGCATTACGCCCCGCGCTGGATCCCGCTACGCCCCGCAGGCCGAGCTGGGCGGGCGTGCCAGTTTGCCACCGGGAGCAGAGGGCGCGGACCGCCGCGCGGGCGTGTCGCTGGACCTGCATTGTGGCGCAGGGTGGTCGAGACGCCCGGAACGAGGATGAGGAAAAGGGTGCTGGACTGGGTCGAGGGAGGGAGGCCGGCACGGATCTGGTCAGATCGACGCTCGGTGACGCAGGCAGCGCCCGCGATTGACAGCATGGCCGGACCAGGACGCTGGATCGACCCGCCCGACAGTGAGGGGATCACTCTCGGGGCTAGCTGCACAGTCTACGAGTTGCACTATTATACCTCGATCTCATGCTCTGAGTGCATGGACCCCGGCGAGATCGCCTGAGTGGTGTTACGGCGGGGGCGTCTACGTGACCCACCACCCTACGATGCACCTCTATGGCGATGGTCTCGCCGCCGCATTCACTCAGTGTTGCATTGTGTATTACATGGGTGCGGCCCTCCTGCATTATGTCTTGCCCGTCCTGTTGCCGCGTCCCTCGGTGCAAAAGGGCCACCCCAAGCAGGGTCAGGTGTTGAAGGAGTCCATCATGAGCATAGGTGAGTGCAGGGTGGATTGGGTGCTGTGATGGGGAGCTGGAAGACGCAGTGTTGCAGGGAAGGAGAAGCTGGTGTGTAATTCTGTATAATCTCTTCCACCTGCCCAGGTGCACTGCTTGTAAAGGCCCTTGTGCTGACGGCTGTGGAGAAGCTGCATGCAGCAGGGTATGGCAAGCTATACACCGGAAGCATCCACTCAGTCTCTGATGTGAGTCCAGGGTGTAGGCATGATGGGTGGGGCGGACCCAGGTGGATTTGTCTAGTCTGGGTGCATTGCTGTACCAGCGTCAAATGCAAAGCCATTGCACATGTCAACTTCTCCTCTCAAACCCTGTCAGGTGACCTACGCTGTCATCACCATAGTCATCCTGGACTGCCTGCATGACACCTGGTTCTACTGGACGCACCGTCTGCTCCACTGGAAGCCCCTGTATCGCCACATTCACTACATCCACCACAAGTGAGGCTCGTGATGGGTGGTGCTGGGGTTTCGGACGGGGCAGCGCAGCACCTTCAGGGTCCTTGCCTCATGCTGGAATCAATCGAAAATCTTTCCCACCGGCGGCTCATTACTTGGCACGTTGTCACCAGGCCATGCACAATTCCATATCAGCTTCTCATCCCCTTCCCCCACATTCACACTCCCACACAGGTCCACTGTACCCACCCCTTTTGCGGGCTACTCCTTCCATGTGGTCGAAGCCCTCATTGTCTTTGCCAACGAGATCATCGTCTGCTTCCTCTTCCCCATCCACGCGTCACTCCACCGCACCTACCACCTTTTCACCACCCTCATCCACATCGGTGTGTGGGGTTTGCAGCCGTGGGGCAATGCTTGGGGGAGGGAGAGTGGCCCCCGTCACTGGAAGGGTGCTTGGTGTCTAAGAGGGGGGCTCCCCAGCCCTGGCCGATAGATCGGCGCTGTGCCTGCCTCCTGTATACCATTGCACTCCCCTCGCGCGCCCCCCTCCCCCCCCTCCCCGCATCCCTCTGTACATACGCATCTTCGACGCCCCCCCTCCCTTCTTCACACATCATCCAGGCGGGCACGCCGGGTACGAGATGGCGCCCCTTATCCCCAGCGTGGAGCAGGCGCTGAGCTGGCTGGTCCAGGGGCCCAGGCCCTGCGGTGCCCTGAACACGGTGAAGCACCACGACATGCACCACCAGATCCCCACCATCCACTTTGCCCTCTACTTTGTGCACTGGGATAGGTTGTGCGGCACAGAGCACCCGGCGTACCGGGGCTATGCCCGGAAACTGGCGGCCCAGGGCCAGGAGGAGAGCTGAGAGTCTGCGTGGCTGTGCATGAACGTCGGTCTGTTGAGCTTGGAGGCATGCCAGGGGCGCGCTTGCCCGTGCTGTTACCCTGGCCCCTCATCCCCTGGTTGTGAGCCTGCTTGCACCCATTGCCTATCCTGATGCTTGCTGCGAGTCTCCTTTCTCCTCACTGTTCTCCATACTTCCGGTTTGTGCTTAGTACTTCTCTTGTGATCAGCGGGAAGGCACAAGTTCGCTCGTGGCGGGATGGTGGGATCTCGGCATGTGAGATCTCGGGACCTCCAAGGGCAGATGTTGCAGGAGCCGGCCTCATGTTGCGGCACTCTTCCACACGTAAACCACAGCGCTTTTATCCCCGAAGCTTTTCTTCCGACCCCACTCAAGGACGCCTGCGTCATATTTGGAGCTCCTTTCGATTGATTACATAAATTACTAAAATACGTAATTGCCATCCGATTGCTCGAAACTGCGAGAGGTACCAGGTTCGATTCCTGGATGGTCCATCACAAGGACCCGGGCCATTAGCTCATATGGTAGAGCGCTCGCTTAGCACCATTGTTTTTATGGTTTTGTCACGAGTGAGAGACAGTTGAGCGTTGGAACAAGGGCATTCCGACCTTTCCCCCTCGGCCTCCTCCATTCCCGCACTGCCCCCCAGCTCTTTGTTGGCAGTCAGACGCTTCTCATACCACCCCCCCTCCCCCGACTTCTTTTCTGCTATCTGTGCTCTGTACACGGTTGGCTGATCTTATAACGCTGGGCGGGAGGGGGGGCAGGGGCAAGAGGAGGACTGGGCAAAGGTGGTTCCATTCAGGGATCCTGTGATGACTAGACATTCATGCTGTAGAGACTATTTTAGTAAGTTGTCTGAGGTGCATGGTGTTTTGTTGGTTGGAGTGTGTGGGAAGTTGTGGGGCGAGTTGTACCGACCCCTCCTCAGGCCTTGGGCCCCGACTTGACGATCTCGGCCGCGACCTCGGGCGTGACGAAGCCGCCGCCGTCGGCGTACTTCTCAAAGTTGGCGCGGAAGAGCTCGCCCAGGTTGCGCAGCGTGGCGTCGTACCCGTCCTGGTCGGCCCAGGAGCGGGAGGGCATCAGGAGCTCGGAGGGCACCCCCGAGACGGCCTTGGGCACCTGCAGCCCAAAAACGGGGATGGGCTCGTACTCCGCGCGCCCCAGCTCGCCCGAGTGGATGGCGTCCACGATGGCGCGCGTGTGGCGCAGCTTGAAGCGGTAGCCGACGCCGTATGACCCGGCCGTCCACCCCGTGTTGATGAGCCAGACCTTGGTGTCGTGGCGCTCCATCTTCTCGGCCAGCATGCTGGCGTACTTGGTGGGGTGCCATACCAGGAAGGCGGAGCCGAAGCAGGCGGAGAAGGTGGCCTCCGGCTCGGTCACGCCCTGCTCCGTGCCCGCCACCTTGGCAGTGTAGCCAGAGATGAAGTAGTACATGGCCTGCTCCTTGGTCAGGCGGGAGACGGGGGGGAGGACGCCAAATGCGTCGCAGCACAGCATGATGATGTTGCTGGGGTGCCCGCCCACGCAGGGGATGCGCGCGTTGGCGATGTACTCGATGGGGTAGGACGCGCGCGTGTTCTCCGTGATCTTGGCCGAGTCGAAGTCCACCTCGCGCGTCTCCTCGTCGAAGATGACGTTCTCCAGCACCGTGCCGAAGCGGATGGCGTTGTAGATGTCGGGCTCGTTCTCCTTCTTCAGGCCGATGGCCTTGGCGTAGCACCCGCCCTCGATGTTGAACACGCCGTCCTCGCCCCAGCAGTGCTCGTCGTCGCCGATGAGCTCGCGCGCGGGGTCGGCCGACAGCGTGGTCTTGCCGGTCCCCGACAGGCCGAAGAAGAGGGTCACGTCGCCGGCCTTGCCCACGTTGCAGCCGGAGTGCAGGGACAGGATGCCGTCGCGCGGCATCCAGTAGTTCATCAGCGTGAACACGCCTGTGGGAATGGAAAGGGGTGGAAAGGGGTGTCAGAGAGGGTGAACATGGGTGTGATGGGCGGTGGAGGGGCAGGGGTGTCAGAGCCCGGGTGTCACGGAGGGACCAAGATTGTTCAGGGGTAAGTGCCCGGTGCGAATGTCAAGCAGGTGACCCCGCCCTGCATCGCTCCATGAGCCAATCAGTTGTATGTCCTTTCCCCCCGGCCCTAACTCACCCTTCTTCATGCACCCTGCGTAGTTGGTGCCCAGGATGACCATCTCCCGCGCCTTGAAGTTGATGTCCACGGAGGTGGAGGAGGTCATGTAGCTGGTGTGGCGGTTGGCGGGGAAGCCCCCCGCGTTGTAGATGGTGAAGTCGGGCTTGCCAAAGTTGGCCAGCTCCTCCTCAGTCGGCCGGATGAGCATGTTGTGCATGAACAGCGCGTGGTAGGGGCGGCCGCAGACGACGCGGATCTTCCGGCGCGCGGCCGGGTCCCAGCCCGCGAAGCCGTCGAAGACGTACAGCCGGTCCAGCATGTTGAGGTAGTCCACCGCGCGCTCGCGGTTCAGCACAAAGGTGTGCTCGTCCATCTCGTAGTTGGGGCTGCCCTCGCCCCACCAAACGTGCGCCGAGGTCTCAGATTCGCGCACCACGCGCTTGTCCTTGGGGCTGCGCCCGGTTTTCGCGCCGGACAGCGTGGCCAGCGCGCCGCTGGCCACGATGTGGGTCGACGGCTCGTGCGCCAGCGCCTTCTCGTACAGCTCTGCGGGGGTCAGGTTGTGGTACACCACCACCGGCTTCAGCCCCGTGTCGGACACGTGCTTGGCGAAGGCCGACCCGCTGGCTGCCAGGGAGCGCGGGGAGCCGGGGATGTAGGCGTGCTTGGGCTCGCCCTTGACCACGCGCGGCCCCGTCTGGCGCGCGTTGGAGCGCAGCGTCTCCGACAGCGACTCAAGGTGCGCGGCATGCACAGTCTCTGCCAGGTGGTTGGGGTGGAGGGGGGGGGGGGAGGTATGGGCTGCATTGAGGTGGGAATGCTGGGATGGGGAACACGAGGGTGGGGGCGGTGGTGTGAGTGGCTTTGGGCTGCTGGGCAAGGGACGGTGGTGCTGGGGATTGCGCGGGGTGCGGGATGGAAGAGGATTCAGGATGGGATTGAATGCAGGGGAGGGCATTTGAGAGTCTGAAGACGCCCAAGCATCAGGGGCGTAAGGGAGCAGGAGTCTCAGAGGCAAAGAAAGGCAGTGGGGCTGGTGGCCTTTAGGGGTCACATCACCGGCAGACGTCCTGCCTAAAAATACATGCAAATGCCAGCCTTTCAACGGGCACTGGCGGCAGCATTGGCAGGGAAGACACGTCAAAAGAGGACACGGGAAGAGGGATGGGAGCAGTGCACGGGAAGCTGTACAGGGGGCCGGAACAGGCCGAGTGCCCCACCCAACAGCACGTGCCGGGGTATATGCCGCGGGCTGCCCGAATCCAACCCCCTCCCCAGCTCCGGCACCGGGATCTCACCATCCTTCTCGCGGTTGGACTTCTGGAGCGAGCGCAGCTCATCCAGATCCTGGGCCCTGCATCAGGGAATCGGAGGAGGGGGGGTCAGGAAGGGTCGCGGGCGGACCAAGTATGGCACTGCAGAGCCCACCGCCATCGGTGCCCACCTTGGGGGGTGGGCCTCGTTCACCATGCGGCGCAGATCACTGCCATTGGAGCTTGGTTTTGAGGTTTGGATCCTGTTTTTCAACGAGAGGGTTGGTGAGGGCAGAGCGTTGATGGCAGGCGCATTGTCGGAGGAAGCTCCGCCCATCGCTGCCGCGGGCGGTGACAGATCGCAAGCGCCTTGAGTATCTAAACAATATAAAGGACTCATATACACTCACGGTGCAACGCCATTGGACGCCATGCTGAGCAAACTGGAAGGGACCCGGTGTCGGGTGTTCAGGTGCCAGGGAACGTGAGAGCTTGAATGCTGCGAGCCTTGCGACCGCGGCGGTGTATGTAACTTGTCGGGAACAGTTTAATATATTACCGAGTATGATGAGGTGTCGGGTTGAGGGTGCAAGGTTGACCTCTTTGCATCTAATAGGCTGCAAAAATTTGTCAGGACGCGTCCACGTACCCGGCGCGAGGAAAGGTGGAGCGCGCTTGCGTGGCTTAAGACGTCTGGAGCGGCACGTGCCAGAGGGACACTGACGACTTCACAAAAGGTCATACTCCTTGCACGGAAAATAAAGTGTATATCATGAGACCGCGGGAATGACTCCAAGCTGATGGCTGGGCCGCTTTTCGGCGCATTTGAGGGACAGCCGAGGGTCCGGATCCTGGATGATGCCAGCTTCGGTCATCTTGCACATCTTAACCAAGCGGCTGGAACAAGGTGGGAGCCATAGGCCTCGTAACACCATGCTCTAGATCGGCATGACCCGTGAAACGCCACGAATAAATCCGACGAGACAGCAGTACATGGTGATGATAGATTGCGAATGAATTTGCGAAGTTGTCTGGGAAGAGTATTGCAGGTGTATATCCTGGCAGCTACTGGTGGACGGGAAACCACCGAGTCACAACCACAGAGAACTACTCCTTACATGTACTCATACTAAACAAGAAAACCCCACTGCGACGAATGGTGAAGCGCTCTGACTGGCGGGGAAGCACATCGACCCCAGGGAGGTGGCTGACCGCATTGGGAAGACCCCACGCGCAAAAAGGGAACATGCACTCAGTGGCAACCAATGGTGCGGGTGAGAGATATGAACTTCCAAGTGGAATTTTGGGTTTGGGCTAATCTTTGGTCTGGCGACAGTCTGGTATTTGGTCGGCTTATAAAGTATTGGGCGACAGCTTCTCTCTAGGCATTTAACAGGTGCGATCACCCACCACTCCAAGTGTCTTTCAGCCGATCTCCGCTCTCTGAATCCATCCACGAGCCCCTGGCATGATTCGTCCACGAATCTTGCATGCGCAAGCAGAACGATCTCTAAGCATGGCGAATCCAAGGTTTCTCGTGGTCACGCTCTGGGGCCACATCATAAGCGATGCGTTCCAGCGAATTGAAGTCTGGACAACAGCGTCCATCCAATCGATTACCTCAAGGTAGACATTTTCATTGTCGACTCACACCTTTCATAGCCCCGAACGCCGTATCGGCAGGGTAAGCCCCCTCCGACACCCGACGCCCGTCACCCCACCGCATGGCCCCACGCCTGGCCCGTGCCACTGATAGCGCGCATCCCAGATGCTGACTGGGACGGCCCTGGGTGTGCTCACCTGGGGCGGTGGCGCGTCATGCTTGTTTGGCGGGTTCCTGGCCGTGGTTGCGGCCAGCAAGTCCCGTGCAGCCCAGGACCTGGGCTCCGTGCGTGAGGTTGAGAGCCTTTCCGGTGGGTCCTGGCCTGGTGTGGCCTGGTTAGGGAACTCGGGTACTTGCAGGGACGAGATCAGGGCTCTTGCAGCGAGTCGGGCGCCTGCAAGTGTCACCTCCCAGGCAACCATTCCGCGATGGACGAGGGGGTCCTGTCTTGATCCCCTTGTGGGTTCCATCTCCAACGCTGCCAGGCTGAGTGCGTCGCTGGATTTCCCAAGATTGAGCCAACCTTGTCCCTCTCCTCCCATATCTCCCCCCCCATCTGATACCCACGTACCAGACCTAAAGGAGCTGGCGTCCCTGGTCCCCCTGCTGGTGGCGGTGAGCGGGCGCGTTTGGTGCGCGCGCCCGCTCACCTGCGAGCTGTCCGCCGGCGAGGCCGCGATCGTGGAGGTCCAGGAGGAGAAGCGCACCGAGCGCCGCTTCGGCGCGGTGTGGGTGGGCGAGACCACGCCCCTCCGCGCCTCGGTGCGCGAGACGGAGTGGTGCCTGGCGGAGGGCGAGGGCGGGGCCGGGGCGCAGGTGCCGGTGCTGGGCGGCGCCGGCGCGCGTGGCGACGCGCTGCAGCCCACGGGTGACGTCTTCCTGCCGGCCCAAGAAGGCGCGCTGGGCGCGCTGGTGGGCGAGCTGGCGGGGCACCGCGCGCTGGGCACGCGCGTGCGCGAGGCGGCGTTGGCCCCTGGCACGCAGCTCGCCGCTGTGGGGGAGCTGGCGGCGGTGGCGGGGCGGCGCGTTCCCCCGCGCGGTGCCCGCCGGCGATGGGCGCGTGCTGGCGCTGCGCGCGCCCGCGCCGGGTGGCGGGCCCCCGCTCCTCCTCTCC